ATGTAAATGTAAATGTAAATACACACACATATACTAGAGGCCCAGTGCATTAAATTCGTGCATGGGGGGATGTCCCTCAGCCCAGCCTGCACTCTCTCCAATCTGGGACCCCTCGAGGGATGTCTGACTGCCCATTTAGGCCCAATCCAGGACTGCTGGCTCCCAACTGCTCGCCAGCCTGCCTGCCTGATTGCCCCCTAACCACTCCCCTGCCAGCCTGATTGATGCCTAACTGCTCCCCTGCCAGCCCAATTGCCCCTAACTTCCCTCCCCTGCTGGCCCAGTCACCCCTAACTTCCCACCCTTGCCAGCCTGATCACCCCCAACTGCCCTGCCCCACAAGCCTGATCGCTCCCAACTGTCCTCCCTTTCAGGCCTGGTCCCTACCAACTGCCCTCCCCTGCTGGCCTGGTTGCCCACAACTGCCCTCCCCTGCTGGCCATCTTGTGGCGGCCATCTTGTGGCCACATGGGGGCAGCCATTTTTGACCACATGGGTGCGGCCATCTTGTGTTGTGATGAATTTATGGACTTTCTTGAAATTAATGGAAAAAGACAGTTTATGTTATGAATTTATAAGTGAATATTTTATGACCACCTGTCCAGAAATTCTAATGATCAGGTTACGGAGAAACTCTCAGACTGTGTAAAACCACACCACATGTGATGCTTCTTTATAACAAACTAGAGGCCCAGTACACAAAATTTGTGCATGGGGGAGTCCCCTCAGCCGAGCCTGCACCCTCTCCAATCCAGGAGCCCTCGGGGGATGTCTGACTGCCAGTTTAGGCTCGATTCCAGGGCCTAAACCGGCAGTCGGACATCCCTCTCACAATCCTGGATTGCTGGCTCCTAATCGCTCACCTGCCTGCCTTCCTGGTTGCCCCTAACTGCTCCCCCTGCCAGCCTGGTTACCCCTTAACTGCCCCCCGCTGCTGGCCTGGTCGCCCCTAACTGCCCCCCTACTGGCCTGGTTGTCCCCAACTGCCCCCCACCAGCCTGGTTGCCCCTCACTGCCCCCCTCTGCCAGACTGGTTGCTCCTCACTGCCCCCCTCCCTGCCAGCCTGGTCGCCCCACATAGCCTGCTGTTTGGTCGTTTGGTCACCCCTCACTGCCCCCCCTGCTGGCCTGGTTGCCCCATGCAGCCTGCTGTTCAGTTGTTGCGTGAGGGCATCCTGACCAATTTGCATATTACCCTGATGAACACAGGTGTTAAATGCTCAACAAAATATTGGCAAACTGATCCAGTAATATATTAAAAAGATCATACTACAGGACTAATTGGAATTAATTCCAGGGATGCAAAGCTGGTATAATACCACAAATTAAAAACATCTAGTATGCAAATAGACCAAATGGCAGAACCAAACAACCGAACCGGTTGCTATGATGTGCGCTGACCACCAGGGGGTGGACACGGAACATGGGGGTTATTGGCAGCAGGCGACAGAGTGTGGAACATGGAGGGCATAGGCCACGGCAGCATGTGGAGCAGGTGATCGGGGTCTCCAGACCAAGGTGGGGTGCCAGTCACTGTCATCAGGGTGAGCCTCTGGTGATTACTGAAAATTCTTTGCTCCTGTGCACCATGGTGCCACCAGTACTTGCATATGCTGCCAGTGCTGGCTCCGCTTGCACCCACTGCCAGCACCGGGCACCAGCCCCAATCGCTCAGCACTGCCAGCAGGTACAAGTGGCAGCTGCCGGCCCTGATTGCCCCTCAGGGCTTCTCCACCTCCCCCTGCTCCTGAGGGGCAATCAGGGTGGCAGCCACCTCTCATACCCACTGTCGGCAATGGCCCTGCTCACACCCGCTGCCGGCGCTGGCCCCGCTCACACCCACAGCCAGCACCAGAGCCACTGCTCGCACCCACTGCCGGTGTCTGGCACCAGTCCTGATTACTCAGTGCTGTCAGCAGGTGCGAGTAGTGGCTGCTGGCCCAATCACCCCTGAGGGCTTCTTCACCTCCCTCTGCTCTTGAGGGGCGATCAGGGCAGCAGCTGCTTCTCACACCCACTGATGGCACTGGCCCCACTCCCACCCACAGCTGGAGCTGGCCCCAATCGCTCCACGCCATTAACGGGTGCAGAGCAGGGCCAGCACCTTCAGTGCGTGGGAGCAGTGGCAGCGGGAGTGGGGCTGCCGGCAGTCAGGGGACTGGGGGACACAGTGGGAGGGGCCAGGCAGAGGTATGGAGGATGGGCTAAGACCCGCCCCTGTGCCCACCGCAGCCTTGTGGCCCACAGTTCCTTTCAAGGTGCACAAATTCATTAACTGGGCCCCTACTGATATATAACCTAAACAAAATAAAGGATAAAAATCACATTATCATATCAATAAATGCAGGAAAAGCATTTGATAAAATCAAGCACCCATTTATAATAAAAACTCTCAGCAAAGTGGACATAGAGGGAACATGCCTCCACATAATAAAGGCCACATAGGACAAACGCACAGGTAACATCATACTAAACAGGCAAAAACTAAAAGTGTTTCCCTTAAGATTAGGAATAAGACAGGGATGTTCACTTTCAACACTCGTATTCAATACAGTATAGAAAGTCCTAGCCACAGCAATCAGACAAGAAAAAAAATAAAAGGCATCCAAATTTGAAGGAAGAAGTAAAACTGTCATTATTTGCAGATGACAAGGTATTATATATAGAGAACAATAAATATTCCACTTTGGAGAATTGGTCTGAATTTGGGACTGTGCCAAAATTGATAATATTTTAGGGATAATGAGGCTGATTATCCATGGGGGAGGGGTTGGTTTTTCATATCTTTATTTCCCTTTTTCTTCTTGTTCCTTTGCAGGGAAGAGGCCATGTCCCTCTTCCTTCTCGTTTGTGGCATTGATTCACTTCCATGGTCTACAGGACTCTGCCCCTTGAACATCCCCGACGATGGCATATCTTCAATCTCCTCCTACTTTCCTCATCTCAGGTTTCTCCTTTTCTGGTCCATTTAAATGTCCCATCTCTTCATCTTTCCTTCATAAAGGGGTCTATTGCTGCTTCCTCTCACTTTTCCATCACCCATTTACTGACACCAAGCAACGTACCTTTCTCTCCCTCACTTCAGTAAACTGCCACATCCAGTGTCCTCTTCCCAGCCCCCAGGGTACCTGCCCGTTTTGGCATTGGGTTAACCATTCCGTTCTTCTTGAGTAATATCCAGTCTCTGGTGTCTAGAACAAAGGCACATTCTACTCTTTTGTTGGTTCTTTTTTTTTTCCCATGTTCCTCAAGTGACTCTGATCTTACTCCTTCCCAACCACAGTTTCCATCAGTAGTCTCATCATTTTTTCTTTTTGCTTAAACCATCATTCCCTCTCATCTGGATACTTGTTGCATATTCTTATTTACCTTATTGACATTTCCACATAAATATCTTCTTAGAATTTCAGAATCAATGTGATTAAAACTTAAATCATCACCTATTTCTTCATCCCTGAGCCTCATTCTGACTTCCCAATGAAGAAAGAAAAGGCACAGGAAAATAAAATGCAGAAATTTCTAAGTTCTGAACAGTGAAGACCTGGAGTGTGTGTGTGTGTGTGGGGGGGGGGGGGGTGACAAAATTGTGATTGTGCCAGTCACTCTACAGGGCATGGAGGAGTATTTTTAACTCACAAATTCACTCAATATTTAATTCCTTACCCATCTATTCATTAATTTATTCATTCATCTATCCATCCCTCCATTCCTTTGCATTTATTAAAAAAGCATTAATTATGCCAATTTGTTGTTAGAAACAAAAATATGAGTAAGGCATAATCTCTGATTTCAAGACATTTTAGAGGAAGAGACAAAAATTTAATTAAACTTTGAGATGCTGATAGAAATAGTCAAAATTTGTTACACCAAGTTGGAGAGATTAAGTTCAGAAAAACTTCAAAGTTGAGTGGCATGAGACATCGTAAAAGTGAGTTGGTGTCATTGGTGCACAGGCCCAAGATGTTACCTGAACAAACCAGGATCTGAAACAGCCTGAGTCCTGAAGAAGCAGAGGGTGAAAGGCACTGAGAGTTGGAATTGAAGGTGTGGCAAGGCCAGGTGGTGATGGTGGTGGTGCTCACCGTGCATAGGAGTGTGCATGTCATCCCAAAGTCCGTGAGGACTCACTGGAGACCCAGGTTGGGGGATTGCCAGTTGTGGAGGTTCCTTTCTATCTTTTCCTTGAGCTCCTGCTACCCTGCTACCACTGCCCTGCTCAGTTCCACTGTTCTAGCTTTAGTCTCTTACCCAAGAAATAGCACAACCATCCTTTCTTGCCTCTCCTCCCAATTCTTGAAACAGCTGTTACAGTTTCGAGTTTTCAAATAGAACTTTACTAAATACTAAAAGGGAAATAAAAGGACATCTACACTAATAAAAGAGAAACATGCAAATTGGTGTCACTCTGCTACACCCACCAGCCAATCAGGATGAGTATGCAAATTAACCCAACAAAGATGGCGGTTAATTTGCATATGCAAGCATGGAGCGAAGACTGACTCCAGCCCGCCGAGCGAAGACTGAAGACTGAAGATGACTGAAGACTGAAGAGGCTTGGCTTCTCTGCTGCAGTGGGAGCGAAGGCCTGGGTCCCAGGTGCCGGAGGAAAACTGGTGCCAGCAACCAGGGGAAGGAAGGCCTATTGCACAAATCTCTTCATGCAATGGGCCTCTAGTTGTTGTAGAAATGTCATCTGTGAAACAATAGTCAAGTTTCCCAAGTACAGATGTCTGAGTCCACCATTATTTTAGAAAAAGCAAAAAAGTTGACTTGGTTTCCAAATCTCTTTTTATGTTTATACTACTCTTACCACTAGTCCTATTACTTCTACCACCACCACCATCACTGCTGCTACTATTCTAGCTGCTAATGTATATTAAGTATATATCTTGTGCCAGTCATCATATTGGTTGTTTTGTTGATAATTTCTCATCTAATCCCATAAAAATAAATAAATAAATATCACTATTCCATTTTACAGATGAGGAAACTAAAACCCAGGTGGAAGTAAAGAACTTCTCCAAGATCACACAGCAAGTAAATGACCCAACCAGCAGTCCATGTCAGCTGTATTAGCACGTTCATGAAGTTTTCTCTGTCATGCTCTGCAACCAGAGCTGTTTGTTCAAAGGTGAATGAGTGACCACCTCACTGTAGCTTACCCTAAATACTTTGATGAACACACCCAAGCACTTGTCCTCCCTGTTGATGAGTCTTTTCTAGTTAGCTCCATTGCCCAATCTAGAACTTTATTGGGATGGAAGAGT